GGCCTTCGCGGGTCTGTTTTGGAGCGGTTGGCTGAGGTTTCGGAGCCAGCATCGCCTGTGAGCCTGGCTGGGGTCGCTGCAGGGCGGGCAGGGCTGCTTTTTGGACTCTGTCTCTGTACTGGGACCAGTGTAGAGATCCCAGTACAAGGAGGATAAGCTGGAGCGAGTGCGGAGGGACGGGTAGGGCTGGAGCACGGAGCAAAGGGGAACCCCACAGCAGCTTTTCTGTACCTAAAAAGTTAGAGAGAACAGAGCCAAGCTCTTTGCAGTAAGAGCGCACGACGAAAAGGCCAGAATTAGAGCGAGGGAGTTAATTAAGCACCGACACAACCCGCAGAGGCTGGTGGGGTCTCTGTCTCTGGGGAGAGGCGCCGCTCAGCTGGAGCGGGCTGCTGTAGTCGGCCCTGCTTCGAGCAGGGACGGGGTAGAGGGCAAATTTCCCCCAGGGCTGGGTCTGTGGAGAGCAGCCAGGTTCCCTTCCTGCCCCTGCTTACCCTCTCCAGCCTCGGCGCGAGCTCCGGAGAGGAGTTCGATCCCTTTGCTGGGTTTTCGAGGGAATCCTGGACCGGCACGTGATCCTCCGCCTGCAAAATCCAGCCCTGGTTGCTCCCCGCAGCGGGGGATCTGACCTCGCTAATCCAAGCGGAAAGGGGCCGTGGTTTTTCCGCGGTCCAAAAATCCCTTGCGGAGAGGGGAACCTCCATCTCCCCAGAGGCTTGTGAGCACCAACGGCTGCATCTTGCTCCTTTCCAGCTCCCCCGAGCAGGAGTCTGATGAGAGAAAGTGCAACTACGAGCGGTACCGAGGCCTGGTGCAGAACGACTTCGCCGGCAGTGAGTGTCTCGTGCAGGCGGGAGGGTCGGGGCTGTGCTGAGACAGGGCGAGCCCCGGCATATTCGGGGGAAATCCCAGCTCGTCCGGGGCACGGCTCGGCGTGGCGCCAGCCGAAGGGCGAGGGGATGGTCTCGTCCCCGCTCTGGGGGTTGGCAGGGCGCTGGGAGAGCTGTGTCCCCTCCTAACGAACTGCAGTTAATCAGCTCTCTGAGCTGTTCTCTCTCGAGTTGGGCGTAAAGCAAGCCGGTAACTTCCGCGTGTGGTTGCAGTCTCAGAGGAGCAGTGTCTCTACCAGATCTACATTGACGAGCTCTATGGGGGACTCCAGAAGCCAAACGAAGATGAGAAAAAGAAGTGAGTGTGAGAAGAAGTGACGGAGGACGGTTGTCACGTCCCTGTCTTTGGGGGCTGTGCTGGGAGTGTGGCTCCGCGGCCTCAGAAACACCCGCTGTTCAACCGCTCCCGGTTTCCCCTCTGCCGGGGTGGGACTCGGCAGCCGCCGGCTGCACCGTTCTCCCTCCGCTGCTCTCGGCGACGCTCTGAAGTTGTCCCCTGCGTCTCCGCGCTGAAATGCCCGTCCCGTCCCTGTCGCTGCGGCCGCGAGGCTGTCCTGGGGCCGAGCGGAGCTGTGGTGGCTGAGGAGGGAGGCAGAGGAAGGGCGGGTTTCTTCCCAAGGAAACTTTCGGCCCCGATGCCGCCTTGCCCGGCGTGGTGGAGGGGAGAGGCGGGCGGGGGCTAAGCGTGTCTGTGCCCAGGCTGGCGGAGAAAAAGGCCTCCATCGGCTACACGTACGAGGACAGCACTGTGGCCGAGCTCGAGAACTCCTTAGAGAAGCGGGGGGAGGAGGAAGACTCCGAGGAAGACAGCAACACGGATGAAGACGAAGTCATCCCCGATATCGGTAATGGCCCTCCCTTATCGGGCTGCTTCACCCCTGTTCGGCAGGCGTGCTGAGCCCTGCCGCACAGCGAGGCTCGGGGTGCGCTGAGCTGCCCGCGTTCCGCCCACAGATGTGGAAGTGGACGTGGACGAGCTCAACCAGGAGCAGGTGGCCGACCTGAACAAGCAGGCGACCACGTACGGCATGGCGGAGGGGGACTTTGTCAGGTACGGCCAGCGGCCGGGATGGCCGGGGAAAACCCCGGGAACTCGGTGGAGCCTCACCAGGGCCTCCCCTTCTCACTGGGGGCTGAATCCTTTGCGGACGTGCCTGTCTCTAGGAGGGGGGCCCCAAAAACATCTCCCTCGAGCACAGGCTCCCTTTCTGGGTGCTGGCAGGTGGGCTTTTATTGAGGGTCTCTCTTTTTTCGGGGGGGGGGGGGAAGACGGAAGGACAAAGAGGAGGCGGAAGCTATTAAAAACGCCAAAGCCCTGGAAGAGGAGAAGGCGATGTACTCGGTAAGGGGAGCTCCGGCCAGCTCTGCCCCGTCCCGCTGCGAGCCTTAGCTGGCCGGGGAGCCTCCCGGGGCACCAGGCTGGGCCGTGCGGGTGCCTTGGCCCCCCCGCAATGCTCACAGGGGCACCTCTGCCTCCTGAGAGGGGCCCGCAAACACCTGGGGCGGCTTTCCCCCGGCTGGTGCCATCTCTTAACTCAGGCTGCTCTCCTAGGGCCGTCGCTCTCGCCGCCAGAGGAGGGAGTTCAGGGAGAAACGCTTGAAAGGGAGGAAGATCAGCCCCCCCAGGTGAGCTCCCCGGCCTGGCAGCAGAGACGGGGCTCCCAGGGCTCGGCCACGGCCCTGATCCGCTTGTGTGTGTCCCAGGCGGGTCCTGCCCGCTCCGTCCTAGACATCGTCCGTGCCAGCTTGCCTGGGGTCCCGGGGAGCTCTGTCCCCTGGCGATGCCCCACCGATTTCCTGATTTCTCCTTCCCTAACGCCCTCTCCTTTCACAGCTACGCACGGAGAGACAGCCCCACCTACGATCCCTACAAACGGTGAGCGGCCACAGCCCCGGGACAAGGGGGTTCTCCAGGCTGGGGACGTCCGCTTCCCGCGGGTCCCCGCGGCCGGTGGGGAGCCTGGCACCCGGTGGTTTTTGGGAGGGAGTGTTTTTGGCAACTGAAGCCGCCTCCCTCCTCGCCACCTCGCAGCTCCCCCTCGGAGTCCACCTCTGAATCCCGCTCCCGTTCCCGCACCCCGTCTCCCGGCCACGAGGAGAAGATCACCTTCATCACCAGCTTCGGCGGCAGCGACGAGGGAGCAGCG